AAGTATCTCATACTGCATAGCCAACAAAGACCTGCCCAGCGCAGTGACCCGTAAATATACAGTGAATTGCGCGCCTCGGGAAATACGCGGGCTAACTTTTTGCTTCCAAGTGTCTTCAGCTTGTGCGCTAAATTCGCCGTTCCTTCTCCAGCTGACCCCTAAGGCCCACACCGCCCTTTCTCCCCACCAAGGTTTCTTCCACCGGGCGTACGCTACTGCAGGACGCTTCTTTACAAAAACGCTGGAGAGCTCCCTTCTCCCTCCCTAGAGCCTCGTCTACCGTGGGAGCGGGGCCCTCCTCTGAACCGGAGACCACGGATAAGAGCCGCGGAGTGCGGTGTGGTCACGCCCGCCCCGGGGCACCGTCGACCTTAGCGACCCTTTCTGGCAGTACCCCCAGATGTATTCTCCCTACTTTGCGCGAACCTTCTTCTCTCTTATGAAAGCGTGCCTGCAGGTGTCTAGATTTCTGTCCTCTAACGGGCATCGGGGACACTGCGGCAAAGTCCAGTGCTGACCGTGTTTCATTCAGGCGAGCTGTCCTGAGCCCTCAGACCTCACCCTGGACTGGCAGAAGCAGCTCACTAGAGGCCAAATGGCTTATGTGGCAGAGCTGGGGTTGCAGCCGGCGCTTCCCCATCGCCCCCTGTTCCCGCAGGTGGGCAGAATCGTGAGTGCGCGTTCGGTCGGCACACTTTTCGGAATTTCCCCCTTTCCTCTCTCTCCTCCGCTGCCCGTCCACAGAGGACAACGTGTGTCCTCGTTCCTTTCTCATTCGGGAGAGGGACTCCAGGCAGCCAAGGGACCCACGAGCGTTTAGGGGGCAGGAGGTTTGCACCTCCGCTGGGTGAATGGTTTCTCTGCAGCGTTAAGGATAGTCTCTGATGAAATTCTGGCTTAGCTACCTTATTAGCCTCGGACAAGTTTTCTGTTTTTCTTTTTTCCTATTTCCCTCACAAGGCCTCAAGTTTGCTCACCTGTAAAATGGGAGTGTTCTTATCTGTCTGCTTAGTCTGCGGTGGAAATTCAGAGACTTCATGCCCGTAAAGCCTTCCACAAATGGGATCTATTATTATCTGGGACCGCCCCGGGGGAAACCCGAGAGAGGCGGCAGGCTCGCTCCCGGAAAGTTTCGGCGGGTACCCAGAACCCAGGCTTCTGGTCCCATGCCTACCACAGAGCCCCCAAGGTGTCGTGTGCGCGTGTCTTTGTACCTGTCTGGGCCTCAGTTTCCCTGTTTGCACCATGGGGGCGAGGTGTGCTCCAAGGGGCTGGAAGTGTCAGCCTCGGTGAGTCAAGGGGCCTTCGCGGAAATTCCAGGGTGGGAAACAGAGGTCAGAGTCCGGATTTCCGGTGGAACCCCAGTCTGCTGCTCCCAAGAGTCCCCGAGAGAGGCGGGTGGAGGCCACGAATCAGAGTTGGGGTTTTGCGGGCGGTGGAGTCCGGGTGCTCCGCCACTCCTGCTGGCGCCAGGGGTGCGATCAGAAGCTCCAGCGGAGCTGCGCCCGCGCAGGTCCTTGCTGTCCCACAGCCCCGGGGCGCCCACCTTCTCCTATCCCTCGCCTTCCTCGGACCGCACCTTGGTCTCTAAACACCTTCGCCCCGGACTTGAAGTTGCAGCGCGCGTCCTCTGTCTCCGGCCGTGCGTGAAAGGGCTTTGCGCCTTTGCGCGTCGCCCTATTTTCACCTCGGCCCAGCACTTAAGGGGGCGTTTGCCCTCCCCACTCGTTCGCAGCAAATGGCAAAGGAAAGGGGACACCCTCTCTCAACGACGGCGGGCCCTCACCCGGGGAACTGAGACCTAGGGAAATTTGTAAAGGACAAGTCCCAAGCCTGGCCTCCTGGGGGCGGGCGAGCAGAAAGGATTCCCTCTTTTCCCGGGACGTCCCCGCTGGCCCTAGTTGGGCTGTATTTCATGAGTCTCTTATCTTTTGGGGAGAGGATGTGCTTTTTCTCTCAGCGCTCTAGACGTTACTGCACTGACTGAAGCCTTTTAAGAAAGGGAATTTATTTTCCTGCATCTCAAGAGTATTGGGGTAGCCAGGGAGGAAAAGTTCCCCGTGGGATAGGGAACGAATAAGGCTGCTCACAGGGCGGGTGCTTACTCCAGCAGCGAGAGGAGACCCCAAGCGCTGGGCCGCTCTGCTTACCATCTGGAGCAGTTGAGGGCTGGTGGGCGCTAGCCCTGACTGCTAAAGCAACTCTGAGAAGCTTGGCAAGAAGCTTCACCAAGTCTCTCCAACTGCTCTTTTAAGATCCAAGTTCATTCCCTTTGCATGGGTTCTTCTCCATTCTGGCCCCCTTCCTCTCAGAGATGATATATGGCTGAAATCAGGAATTTCCAAAGACCTTCAAATACAGGTTTCCATGTACCAACATCAAAGGTTCAGTCTGGGCAAGGCCTGGAAATCTGTATTTCTAACAAATGCCTTCCTTTTCACCTTCTGTCATGTGATTAGGCAGCTGAGCCCAGTTTGAGGGTTACAAACTGCACTGAAACCAAGTCACACTTGGGCTATGGAGCCTGGGGCAATGCTCTGCACACAAGTACATCTCTTCGCAGGAGATAGGAAAGTAAAAGGATAAAACCAGCCTCAGCACATCCTTTATAGTCACCCCTTAAACACCTGCTTGTTCTCTGAGGTGATGCTAACCTCACATGAGGGATGCATTCCAAAGTATGTAAGTGATTCTCTTTCATAGTTTCAAATTGCACTTGCTGGTTCACTATTCATCAGAGAGTGAATATCCATGCACACACACACACACACAAAACTACTGCTCTGCTTGGCCTGGGTGTCATTCCTAGTTGTTTTTTGTTTGTTTTGTTTTGTTTTTGGTCACTCTGTCTCTTTTCCATCTTTTCTTTAGCCTTCTTCCTAGTTAAACATTTGTTATAGGATGAGAAAGCCCAGTTGAAAGCACAAGGACACTCAGAAGAAAAGCTATGAACACACTCTGCTTGATTAAAATAAAGTACACCCACCCTCCCAGGTGAGGCATCTGCTGTCTCTGCACAGCCACAGGGAATTAGTCTTATCAAAAGACTCCTGCCCTCTTGCATTTTTCTTCCTTCTCTGGCCTGGCGGATGTGGAAATTGCCTCCCTCATATTTAGTTCCTGGAGAGATTGGTTCTGGGGTAGGAATTGGGCTGCTAAACACTTCTTTCTCTGCCAATTTCTCATTTGGCATAGTCAGTTTCGGGAGCTTCCACAAACACATCTTTTATAGATGCTTCTAGATTCTGCTTGACACCCAGCAATCTATCTGTTGCATGCCCTTTGCTGATTTTGCTTTCCAGGGAGACTGTCACCTCTTTCCTATGCCTTTCACACCAGCCATTGGCAGTGATCTGCATCCTTATTGTGTGCCCATCACTGGAGTAGTATCCACCCTACCAGACTCAGCTCAGAGTCTTGTTTTCAGAAAGTAAAACAGAGGCTAGGGTCTTATGCAAGGGCCATCTGGGACCCATGGACAGGAAAGTTATCTCTGATTTCCTGTGAGCTGGAAAATGTGTTCCTGGTAGAAGAAGGGCTTGACTCTATGGACCTTTGGGCCTGGGGCATCAGGTTGGTCTTGGAGCTTTGGGAAGTTTTTAGCAGGCCCAGTCTGCATTTAAATTCTATAGAGATGGAAAGGGACCACATTCCCTTCCCACTCCCCAAAAACCTGCATCCCTTGTAGTGTCTCTACCAACATATCCCTCCTGAATGCCAACTGTATGCTGGGAACTCTGGAAGATGCTGTGGGAACTCCGATGGGTCTGATCACCTCCTTTAGGAATGTCTTAGAGGAGATGGATTAAGGATGATAGCAGGGACAAAGTGCTTGGTATGTAAGAGTTCCAGATTAGATAGTCTGAGTGATGGGCAGGGCTCTTGCCCTGTAGATTCAGCAGTGTTTGAAGACAGTGACCATGCACCCACAGACCTGGAATACACCCTCATCCAATTTAGGAATCCAAAATTGGCTCTACTTTCCTGCGATGCCAAGAGCACAAAGCATAACTCACTGGTCTGTCTCCATTCAACGTGGGCATGTGTGCTTTTCCATCTGTGACCCCAGGAGCTTCCTAAATCAAAGGGCCAAGGAAGCCCAGCAGAAAGAGGACCTGGATTTCTGGCAGAGAATTTCTCCCCTGGAGTCCTTGGCAGGTTTGGCTGCAGGCAGGGAGTTCCTTTGAGGGAAGTGAAACAGAAGTTCGCTATGTGCTTATTAGGGGTTACAACCTGCTAAAAAATGATGGGACACATTACCCAGAAACATCTAGTGATTTCCTTTGCTAGCCACAAGCGTATATACCAAGGGGACCTATGGAGGAGGCAGTTTCCCTCTTCTCCCTTCTTTCTCTCCCTCCCTCCCTCCCTTCCTCCTTTCTGGTCTTCTTTCCTACCTTCCTTCCCTCTCTCCACTTTCGATTCTGCCCCCTCCTTCCCGTCTCCTTCTTTCCCTCATTTCTCCTCCCTTCCTCTCATTTCCTCCCTTCTCTTTCTTTCCATATGGCACAGACAGAAGTTGGGGAGATTTTCTTCAAGTCTCTTTTTTAACAGAGAGAAGGAGGCAAAAAGAGAGAAACCCTATACCAAACAACCAGCTATTCCGAAATGGTATACGTTGTCATGGCTTTGGTAGTTAGAGAAATAAACTACTTTGAGGCGAGGCTGACGGGTTGAGCCTTGAATTTGAGAACATTTCAAAACGCACCAAACGCAGCCTCCGGGAGAGCATTCATTCCACCACTCGCATCTCTTGAGGACCGTCCGAGAGAAGGGAGCATGCTAGCGAGCGGGAGCAGCGCCTAACGCCGGCTTTCCCGAGGTCCGCGACCAAAAGAGGATCGTTTCAGAGGTCCCCTGGGTCCCCGCTTCTCGGGGACCCACAGAGCCTCGCTTGCCCTGGCCCCGGGTCCAGGCGCCGCCTCTACGCGCTCTCAGCCCCGACCTCGCCCACCCCTATCCATCCCGCCATCCCCGCCTGAAAGCGAAGAGGTGGGCACCTGGGACGCGCGTCCTGACTTTTCTGCACAGGCTGTCCCGACTCCTCCACTTTTGCCCCCGACGACCCAGAACTGCGGATCAGGACGCGGCCTTGGGCCTGGAAGGGCGCACCGTGTGCGCCTCGAGCGTTTTCAGGGCGCAGAGCGGATGCAGGGGGAAGGCAACCGCCAGGATGCGGACTCCCCCTCCCGTTCTTCCAGCTCAAATCCCTGGGAAGGATATCCCTCCCCTGCCCTCTGGCCCCGCTCCGGCCCCGCTCCTCCCAGCCGCAGACCCCGATGTTCAGCGCTCCCTTGCTAGCCACTTTGCGAGGAACTTTAGCCGGCTCCCCCGCGCCACCCGGGGAGGGATGTTAATGAGGGAGCGTGGCCTGGCTCGGCGAGCCGGCCCGCTCCCGAGCCGCGATTGGTCGCGGCGAGGCGGAAGGATGACGTTATGCAAATAAGGGGAGGGGCTGCTGGGCGCGGGCCCCGCCTCCTCCCTTTGGGGTTAGTGTGCCTGTGTTTAGCTCTGGGGAGAGTCAAACTGGATTCCATAGGGAAAGCCTGCAAATCACTTCTATTTTAGCAAAGAGAAAACAGAATCTCCATCCAGCAGGGTCCACCCCTCTCTCTTTCTCCCTCTCCTCTCTTTCTATCTTTTCCCTCCCCCTCCTCTCCCTCTCTCCCCTCCCCCCACCCTCTCTGGTGTCTCTGTCTACGGCGACCAGCGTCCTCCTCTGCACGCACTCAAAGGAAAGAAACATCTTTGGTTGGGAGAGAAGGAGGAAAAAAAAAAGAGAGAGAGAGAGGAAAAAACTTGCCTGGTTGTGGAAAATGACACTTGAAGTAGCAAAGCCGGCAGCGCGAGTTGAGTCTATTGTTTCTTAAATTGCCATCAGGTTTTTTTTCTTCCTGCTTCTTCAAGTGAAGGTACCGCTACAAAAGGCAACTCGGCCCCTCCTGTCCTGCACCGGCCTGTGACCACTACAAAATAAAAAAATAAATAAAATACGCAAAAAAAAAAAACAACACTCAAACCAAAATCAACCAACCAAACAACCCCCAACAGCCAAGCATACATCTCTAATTTTTTTATTTTGGTCTTTTCGTTGGATTTTCCCTTTTTTCTTTTTTTTTCTCTCCTTTTTTTTCTAGTTATCGCTCAGTTTTGAGCGAAGGTTTACATTTTTAAAAAATTTGCTTTCCAGCCCGCCTTGATCTTCTAACGCGAGTTCATCTTCTCCAAAAAAAAATCTGGTTGGCGTTTTTCTTTGCCTTTTTTTTTTTTTTTTAATATTTTCAAGGGGGAGGAGATTTTCCACAAGAAAAGGTTGTTTTCATGTTTGGGATTCAGGAAAGCATCCAACGGAGTGGAAGCAGCATGAAGGAAGAGCCGCTGGGCAGCGGCATGAACGCGGTGCGGACGTGGATGCAGGGCGCCGGGGTGCTGGACGCCAACACGGCGGCGCAGAGGTGGGTACCGCGCGGGGACCCGGCCGGCCGCCGAGCACCGGGCCGGGGAGCGGGGAGGCGGCGGCGGCGGCGGCCGCGGGGCCGGGCTGCGCTGCAGCGCCAGCCGCTCCGCTCAGCTCGCCGCCCGGGGCTGGGAGCTCTCCGGCCTCGCCGCTCGCGTCGCCTGCGGCTGGAGAGCGGGGAGCTGCCTGCGAGGAGCCCACGCTTTGCCGGCACTTTCCCCTGTCTCGTCTGTGACTGTTTTCATTTTGTTTTACCCCAGAAGAGGCGTCTCACCCTCGTGATGTTGGATATCTGTGTTTTTATGTGATCGCTCTTTCTTTTCCGGCCGACTTTCTTCTCCTTCCCTTCCTTCTTTCTGCTTTTCTTTCTCTCTCTCTCTCTCTCTTTCTTTCTCTCTCTCTTTCTTTCTCTCTTTCCCCTTTTATTCCTTCCCTTTATTTCCTGCTCCTCTTGCTCCTTGCCTCGCTCCTTGCGTTTCCCTCGTTCTTCCCCTTCCTGCCTCGCCCCCTGCCTTCCCTCCGTTCGTCTCCCCTTTCTTTCCGTTCCCTCCTTCTTTCCTCCCTTTGTCCGTCCTGCCTTCCCCTGCCCTTCCTCCCTCCTTCCTGCTGCCCGGCTCTGAGTCCTCTTCCAGAGCGGACCTCGCCGCCTCGCCGCTTTTCTCTCCCCATTTCTCCCTCGAGTCTTCTCTGATTTCTCCCGTCTGCTTCTCTCTCCCTCCCTCCCTCCCTCCCTCTCTCCAGCTTTCTGCGTTTCTCAGTCCACCCGGCGGATAGCAACTCCCAACTTTCATTCTGACATCCCCACCCCCGGTCGCGGTGGCCCCTTCCAGCCCCTCTCCCACCCGCAGCTCCGGAGCCGCCAGACTGGGTGACCTGGAGCCACTGCCCTTGGCGCTTGACCTGGGCGAACTTTCCTGGGCACATCCCATGCCCTTCCCGGGGCTCCTGGTCCCGAGTGAGAAAGGGCCCCCTTTTATGATCCCAGGCCGTCAGCTGGGCTTGGGGCAGTGGGGGACCTGCTGGCCCCAGGCCTGATCACGCTGAGTGCGGAAGGGGAAGAAGGAAGGTGCCCGCCTCATCCGCGGCTTCCCGTGGCTGGGGACAAGTGTACTCCACACAGTTCGCATCCCCGCTGAGCCTCAGGCCCGGGACGACTGGTAGTGAGAGTGCAAGGGGTGGCCTGGCTGGAAGCGAAAGTGTGTGTGTGTGTGTGTGTGTGTGTGTCTGTGTGTGTCTGTATGTGTGGCCCCGGCGTGTGTGTTGTGTCTGTGCCTGCGCGCGCCGGTGTTGGGCAGGTCGGGCTGTCGGCTGCCGCCCGGCGCCCAGCAGAGACCCAGCCGGCAGTCCCCGGCGGGCGCGCTCCGCCAGCCACCCCGCTGATGGCACAAGTAGCAGGATTGCTGTCCGACGGCCAAACTTTGTCGGGACAGGTCTTGGCGGGGGGAAAAACACATACACACTCCGTTCCCTTTCCCATAGCGACCACCTCCGATCGCTCAGCCACGCACCCTCACAGCCGGCTTCCCCTCCGGCTTTCTCTGGGGGTTGGGTTTGGGAGTGCAGCTTCCTGAGGCCGGGCACCCGCCGCCGGCCGGCCGGGGCGCGTGAGGTTTCCTGCAGGGTGGCGGCTGCGGCGGGAAGCTCAGCGTGTCTCCATCCCGTCCCACCTGCCCACGTAGCCGGGACAGGAGAGGACAGACAGCCGGGGTGGGTGGGCAGCGGGGACCAGCGGCCGTACCCCTTCCCGGGAGTTGTGATTCGCGTGCGCTTTGCTCCGCTAACGTGGGATGCCCTAGTCCACCACCACTTCGCCGCCTCCACAACCGGCGCGCGTCAGGCCCGAGTAGAGGCTGCCAGCGATTCGACTCGCGCGCAAACCCAGACCAAACTTTCACACCTCCTCGGCGAGTTCTGAGGACGCGCGCTGTCCTCGGCGGGGTAGACGAGGAGACGCAGGGCCTCCCGAGTCCCGTCGGCAGCCACGCTCCGGGAGCCTGAGGGGGCGCGGAGGGCGCACGCGGGATGAGTCGGGGGCAGAGGCGGTGGGTGTTTGCGGGATCGCACGCGGCGGCCGCTGATAACCCGGGCGCGGGCTGGGGCCGTGTGGCTGCGCCATCTAACTCTGCGTCTTTGACCGCAGCGGGGTGGGTCTGGCCCGGGCTCACTTTGAGAAGCAGCCGCCCTCCAATCTGAGGAAATCCAACTTCTTCCACTTCGTCCTGGCCCTCTACGACAGACAGGGCCAGCCCGTGGAGATCGAGAGGACAGCCTTTGTGGGGTTCGTGGAGAAGGAAAAAGTAAGTGGGAGCAGCGCCGCAGCCCCTGGGCCCCGGCTCAGGGAGCAGGCCCAGGCGCTCGGGAGGCGCGTTCCTCCGTGAGTGCAAAGCATCCAAAACACACTCCCATAGGGGCCCCCCCAAGCCACTTCCCGTCCCGGACGAACTCGGGCTCCCGATCCACCAGGTTCTGCTCCAAAAAAAAGTTAGTCAGGAGTCCCCGGAGCCGGATAGAAGCGAGCCTGGCCCCACAGCCCCGAGCCTTAGGAGCCAGGGATGTGCCAGTTCTCGATGGGAGACCACGTACCGCCTGCCCCTGACAGCCCAGGCCAGAGCCTCCAGGACCTGGGCAGAGAGGATCGCCCGTGCGCGCGCCACTCAATATTCTGGAAGGGGAGAGAGAGCAGGCAGGGACCGGGGTTGGGGGTGGAGGGGAGATTACAGTTGTCCACATTTTCTGCGGCTCCCTGGCTGGGGGTCCTGGTTTGGGGGAAGTTGCCTCCAAGTTGATGCTCACGCCGACCTCTTTCTCGCGTCTCTTGTGCCTTGCATCCTGCTGCAACTCAGGAAGCCAACAGCGAAAAGACCAATAACGGGATTCACTACCGGCTCCAGCTCCTCTACAGCAATGGTGAGGCTCCCGTCGGGTCTGTGCCAGCACCCGGGGGGCTCTGGCACGGGACAGGGATGCCGAGAACTCCAGGTGGACAAAAGCCTGCAGCCACACCACTTGACTGTCGTCCTGGTGGTGTATCCCTTTATCCTAAGCCGCACCCTAGGAGATTTCACCCCAGGAGGTCTGGAGGTCTGCCTTGTGGGTGTTGCAAATACCTGGGGCCAGGTGTGGTGCCTCAGCCAGGGCTGGGACTGCTTTCCTTCCTCCTTGCCTTTCTGAGGCCTGTTCCTCCAACGTCCAAGGCCCTTTGGGTTCAGGAGGCCTGGAGGCCCGTGATCATTGATGGCTTCAGGCAGCACAGAAGGGCTCTTGCTTGGGAAGAAGAGCAGGAAGGTGAGGGTCTCAGCCTTTTCCCAGCTGCAGCACCAGAGATTTGGCTTGCCAGGGTGCTTGGGCCCGGCTGCAGGCTCCTGTCTGGACCGTGTGGAAAGGATGTCAGCAGAGCTTTCCCTGGACAGTAGGAGAGCCGTTTGCCCTGGGAACCCCTTGCTTTGTGTGTGTATGTGGGTTTTTGTTTTGTTTAACTGTTGTCTGCTCCCTTGCCCCCAGCTGATCCCCTCTCACTTAATTCTTCCTTCTTCCTCCACTGCCACCGCCACCCCCCACCCCAGGGATAAGGACGGAGCAGGACTTCTACGTGCGCCTCATTGACTCCATGACAAAACAAGTAAGTTTCTTAATTTTGTGTCACTGGGCTGACTCTAGGGTCATGAAATTTTGGAAGAATCCAGAAGCTGCTTGTTCCACAGCAGGAAGACTGGGACTTGAACCCCGAAAGCTGGGGTTGACCGCAGACCACACAGGCATGGTGCAGCCTTCCAGTACCCATTCAACCCTTGCCCGCCGCATGCAAAGGATGGCTCCAAGGCTCCTGCCCTCCAAGGGAGGCCCTGGCCTTGTGAATTAAGAGACCACAGGGTGCTGAGCACAGGGAGTAAGGGCTGAACTTCCTCTGACCTGGCAGAGGTGCCCCAGGGGGTGCAGAAGGTGCCTGGGACCCTGTGCGAGGAGGGCTGAACTTCTGAAAGCCAAACTAACCAGGCCTGTTCCAGGAGGCAGAGGATGCGGGGGTCTGGGGTTGGCGGCCAAGGTGGCTTCTCCAGGAATGGTGGGATGCGCGGAGATTGTAGATGACCAATCCATAGGTTTTGTTTTGTATTTTTTTAAATTATTATTTTTAAAAGAGGGTAGTGGTGAAGGTAGTTTGAAAGAGGGATGGAGAGTTGTCAGGATATTTTGCAAAAATCCTCCTGCTTTTGCCTCCAACTTTGGCAGGAAGCCAGAGAGCATGAGTGAGCTTGCGGTCTTAAAGGTACATAGACGGCATTTTCTTAAGCTCCCCAGCACGCGGGTGTCAGGCAGTATACATTAAGGCTGAGTTATGGTTTAAAAGATACAATTATGAGCCGAGTCAGAAAAGAGGTCTGACATTTTAATGAGGTACAGGAGCTTTTCTTCTTCTTCTTCTTCTTACATTTAAGAAAAAGTTTAGTTTTAGAATTAAGTAGCTGGTTAGGTAGGATTTAGTAGCAGAAAAAAAGAAGACAGCTTTATTGGGTGGGGGAAAGAAATCAGAACAAAGAGAAAAGTTAACCATTGTGTCCCAACCAGCAATTTAGTAAGAGGATTAGAATTTATTTACTTGATTTTAAAATGTTTCTGTTAAAATAAAGGAGGTGATTTTTTATAAACACTGCCTTGGAAAAGTTTCAAGTTGGGGTAGGCATGCATATTTAAAAACTGTCTTTAGATATTCCATAGCTTATATATGTTGCACAAAATGTATATGGATAAGCTTTGAGAGTTTTAAAATCTACTCAGCAAGAGGTAATTTAATAACAGCTAGTTTCAATTATTACTGTCATGTTTCATTGTGACCCAAGTAGAAAACAAGATAACATGAAATATATATTTAAAATAATAATAAATAAATATCTCTTGTAATCTACTTCATGTTATTTGCCAATGATATTTGGCTTTCTTGAGGTGTTTGTATTTTAGTTCATTGGTCAGGGTAATCTCATTTATGCTTTTAATATTGGGCTTGTTTTTTCCTTTAATGGATTTGATTATTACATAGGATAATTCCCTTTCATTTGGACATTGTATTTTGTTAAAAAAATTTTTTTCCTGCCAGATAAAAACACAAAAGCCTGATTTTAGTAACTTTTTTTTTCTTATATGATATCAAAACAAAAGGCCTGAAGTGAAGTTTTGTTTTCAAAAATTGTCTTTGATACCCTGGATATCCTTTCCTGCCATTCTCATCAGAGGATTAAAAAGAGAGGAGGGGGAGGGGAAAGCATGAACTCTAATTCATATTCCATATGTATTTCTTAGGATTCACTTTTTATATGGTAAAAGGCACATGCACGCGAATCAGAACTTGAGGCCTGCTTGCGTAACATTTACCACTTACATATTAAATTACAGGCAGCATTAGGAAATGAACTGTTGTAAGGAGCACAAAACTGGGGCATACTTGAAGGGGCTAACTTGTGCCTGATTTGAACTTCCTCAAAATTTTATTTTAGATCTCTGTAAACAAAAAATCAATATTGATTTTCCCATTAAGAAATGAAGTGACTTTATACACTCTCATATGAAAACAGTGGGAGAGTCATCTCTTGATATTTTATAAAGCGATACATCAAATATCATTTTACTAACAAGGTCCTAGAGCTTAAGAAAAACTGCAGCTTAAGGCATTCTTTGACCTCTTGTTATCATCATAAATTCTGTGGGGAGAAGGGAAGGGAGAGAGAGAGAAGGAAAGAAAGAATCAGAGAGAGAGAGGAGAGGAACAAGAATGAGATATTGTTTATGTTCAATAATAGCAGATATGAAAAAGTAATTTGCCATAAATGGCATATTAAAAGTTAAAATTATAAATTATGTATTTTGATAGTGACCTGAGAAAATCTTAATTAATTAAATTAGTTTTTAAAAAAAGAAATATAGATATGTCAAGATATACCTATTTGCTTTTATAAAACTTGCTTAAATATCTACCCTCTCTATGGCTTTCACTTTGAAAGGCAATCCCTGCTCATTATCCCGTTGCTTGTTTTTTGCTTATGTGCTGTGAGAGTTCTGGAAGTAGGTGAGCTTTTTGTGTACACAGTTAACACAATAGTCTTCAAAAGGCAGATAAGTCAGTGGAAAGAAGGCTAACTTTCCCTAGCTGTGACATAGTAATGTATATTTAGCCTTAATGAGTAAAGTTTCAAGGGTCCTCATCTTGGTTGAAATAATTCTAGTCTAATTTAAAATTTCTTACATTTTTTTAGCTAAATATATTTGTCAAATCAGATGTAAGTCTTGATATAAGCCAACAGATTAAATGGTTATATATTTTTTCCCCTGTGAAATTCTTTCTGGTTGAGTCCAGGTTTTGATATTTAGAGTGCAGAATGGAATACTTTTAGTGATATGATGAGTTCCAATAACATCAGAAATTGTGGAGGGAATTCCTAGCTACTGTTAGGCATCTTCTCTTGGCTATGTGTTTATTGTACCATTTTTCATATCAGGGATGCAGCTTTATGTGTGTGATGTCATATTCTTAACTCACACAGTGGTGTTAAAATGAAAAAGGAATCTTGAGCAAGGAAAATCCCAAAGTGACTGTGCACTCAACATTTTAACAATACAGAGCTCCTGATTTTGGGTAGAGTTAGTAGTCTTGAAATCAGACAGAAATGTACTCAATCAACCAAGATGTGTTGGTGTGACACAGTGTTTCACACCTCTTCAAAGTGTCTCATTAGACTGTTTTGGGTAATGACTCTTCATTTTGGACTCTACCTGGAAAGATGCAGCTTCTTGAGAAGTGAATGTCTAAGGCTCTGAGCTCCTCATTTATCTGCATGCTTCCTTTCTGAAACATAGAGGATATAATAGCTAAACATTTTGTTCACCAACTAGAAAAGAAAAGGCTTGCTTTTGGGAAAGATTGTAGAAAACCAAGTTTAGCTAGACTAAAAATAGATTGTTTTTGTGTCATTGCTGTTTTTGGTATTCTATTAGTGTGCAGAAAGCCCTGTAGGATCCAGAAGTTTGTGGCTGTTGCATCCAGAAACCGTGTCTACTCCTGAAGCTGAAACGAACCTGGTGGGGGAGGTCTGAGGTTTACTGTGCTCCACGTCACGTGTTCATGTAGTAGTTGAAATATGATTACATTCTGGTTGCTTCTGTGAGTTATTTATCTTTAAACAGTTAACAGAAAAATCCTGTAACTCATCTCCCTTCCTACCATCTTGCTTTAAAAGTGACATTAATTCAGTCACATTCAAAGAAAGGATACCAGGTTTCATAAAGCTATAAAAACAAAACACTCCCTGCCCGCTGCTGCCACTCCACTGCCCCCACCAAAAAGCTTTTTTGGAAAGGAGAAAAAACAGTAGTCACACAATCCTTGTGTGTACGGATTTGAGGGTAAGAGATATGTGGAGGTTGCCCTAAAAAAGCCCCTGCACGGTGGGGGCGGGGGGAGGGGTCCAAGGTACAGCATTCACAGATGCTCTCAGATTTCTCTTCCCAGCTAGACTTCTTCATATATTTGTTTGGATGTTCCCCATACTTTAAGTTATTGAAGCAAATGCATTTTTCCCCTATTGATTGTTTCGTTATATCCTGCCACAGTTACGTAAACTTGATTAACAACTCTTTCAGTTCATAGTTCTTCATTGGTAGATAAACGAATTTTTAGTATATCAGTAGGTTCCCAAGGAATTCACTAGGCCAGCAGAGAGTTTCTTTCACATATTTGGGGGAAAGAAACAAAAAAGGACGAGCAAGATTATAGTCAGGGGCCCTATTTCAGCAGCTTTTTCATTCCTTTGGTAACATGTCAAAAATGCAGGTGATTTAAATTTCCTTGCACAGAGAAGAATGAAGAAGTTTGGAATTTTTATGCATGATCAGGACCTGTGTTTGGGAAAATGTAAACTCATCACAGTGGAAAATGTGTTGTTTGGAGTCTGGGGGTGAAAACAAAGCTGATGGTTTTGGAGAGATTGCCGGAGCCAGATGGCCTAGTACTTCCCCAGTCTGGCGGTCCAACTGCTCCCTCCTGGATAATATACAGCCATTTGTTCGGGGATATTTACGCTAGAGCTGTTTCCATGTGAATGTTTGAACAGCATTAAAAACGAACATATTAGTAGGGATGCATTTATTGAACTTGTACAACTGTACAGATAGTCTGTCCTCTGTCTTTACTTATATTGCTGAGAGCAGTGAAGGAGTGTTTGGACATTGTGGGATTGTTTGCATAGTTGTTGAGCAAGAATGATTTGGTCTTAGTGAGTAATTACAATATATAAGCATTTGGAATAAAACTAATGGAAATAATGGTAGCACCTACCTGGCAGATCTGTTGTGAGAATTAAATGAATTCATAGAAATAAAAGGCTTAAAATAATGCCTGGCACATATTAAGTGCTTAATAAATTAGCTGCTTTTATTATTTTATTATTATTTTTACTGCCTCATTGGGTTGATGAAGCCAGCCATATTTACCAATAGAGATGTAAATGTAGTTACCATATGAGTGAAATATCTTATTACTTCCAGAAAAAGAGATATAAAATTGTTAAAAGGGTTGGGGTTTTTCATCGTATTTGAATAATATAGGGGTTTTGGTTCTGTGAGACATAAAAGATG